CCTTGGGCAGTGGGGGACAAGGGGAGGAGAGTGGTCCTCCTGGCCAGGGCAGAGCTCCTTGGAGCTCAAATAGGGGTGGGATGGAGGTCCTCAGCCTCCCTGCCATGTTGCCTTCTCCCCATGATTGCCGTCCACACCTTCTCTTGAATTGTATTGCTTTCTGACTTGAAGCACCTCATTAGCTCTACCTTTCTTGTATCTGGAGGGTGATCCTTTCACTGCTGTGACCTCAGCACACCATCCTGCGTACAGCCTCAGGGCTTCTCAGCCTCACCACTGCTGATACTTTGGGCCAGATCAGTTTTTGTCGTGGGAGACTGTCCTGTGCATTGTCGGATGTTTAGCAGCATCCCTGGCCTCTACCTACTATATACTAGAAGCCCCTTCCCCCAGTTGTGACAACCAAAAATGTCCCAGGCGGTCCAAATGTCTTCCAGGGGGCAAAGTTGCCCCCAGTTGAGAACCACTAGGCTAACTGGTCTCCCTACCCCTCTACAGCATGTTCTCTGCCAACAGCCAGATGATCCTTTTAACATTACTGTCACGCACGCCCTCTGCTCAGAGCCCTGCTGGGGCTTCCATCTCACTCAGGATGCAATCTCAAGTCCTTCCTGTGGTTCTGTCTCTAAGGCCTCAACAAGCCAGCCTCGTCTCCTTCTACTCGCTTGGGAGCTTGCTTTGCCGCAGCCCTACTGGCCTCTCTGTTGGTCATCGAACGCTCGAAGCACACTCCACCCAAGGTCTTTATGGCAGCTCTTCTGTCTGTTTGGAAAGCTCACTCCCTTGTTGCACTCAGATCTCTGGTCAAATGTCACCTTGGAGTGGCCTTTTCTGACCACCCACTTAAAATAACTCATTCTTGCTCCCCTCCCGTTACCAGTCTCTCTCACACGCATACTCTGTATTGCCTTGTTTTTCTGTATGGCACTTAGCACCACCTGACCTGTGTGTGTGCATGTCTGTCTCCTCCACGGCACTAGAATGTAAGCTTTGCGAGAGCAGGGACTTGTCTCCCCAGCGCCTGGCACGTGGAAGGTGCTCAGTCATCATTGCTCAGATGAGTGAACTCCTCCATAAAGCCTGGCTCTCCTCTCCCAGAGCAAGTGCCAGAATCCCTCTCTATGGAGGGCAGATATGGTGTTTGAGGCTCTTGTTTCCAGAGAAGCAGTGAGAGCAAAGGCTGTCGGTTCTCGGGTTCCACCAGGCACGTGCCTGCAGTCATGTCACAGAAGTGTCCAAAGTGATGCATCTTCATTTTTAAAAACCACCTGGAGCCCTCCTCACTCAGAGACACTAACATTTTTGTGTGTTATCTCTCTTTTCTTTTTTTCTGTTCAGAAACTTCTGATAGCTACATCTCTCCCTCAAGAAATGTTAATAGTTCACCACCTCAGGGGTTCAGAATTTCAGAGCCTGTGATGACAGTGGAAATCTATCCATCCACCACCTCAGATCCCACCCTAGTAACAATTTTTTTTAAACTACTTTTAGGGTGCACCTAACAAAACATGGTTATGTTTTATGGCTTAGTTTTGCTCTAGAATCTGGTGTTTTCAGAGAGCAGACACGCTGCCCTCTAGTGTTAGCCTCTTGTGGTGTCTGATGCCGGTGATAAGGGTCCTTGATCTTTTAGAGTGGGATAAGAAGAGGGCAAACTGCTGAGACCCCATGGTTTCTCCCACCTGGAGGCCTTGGTAGGCATTCAGGGCCCTGACAACATCCGCAGTCAGAGGCCACAACAGCTGCCTTCCACATGCCCCAGAAGTGAATACAGCATTTATTGCTTTTATAACCAGGAGAAGAATCACTGTTTTTTAGAATGTGTGGCTCGGCCAGAAAGATGTTTTACTCTGTTCTTATCTCTGCAGCTCTGGGGAGGGGTGAGCTTTTTATGTGGCTAAGAGAATGGACCCTGGAGCCAGACTGCCTGAGTTCAGGTCCCAGCTTCACCACTTAGGAGCTGTGTGACCGTGAACAAGTTACTTATTTTTCTCTCTCAGTTTACTTATCTGTAAAACGGGAATGACAATAATAGTAGACTTCATAGAGTCGTGGAGGATTTCATAGGTTTAAATACATTAAGTGCCTAGAAAACTGCGTGGAACGTGGTAAACGCCGGTTGTGCTGTTACTGCAAGGCAGAGGACTCCAGAGCTCCTGAACCCCCAGGAGCACAGAGGTTCCTGCCAAAATGGGGATACTGAAAGCATTGATGCAGGTAGCCTGTGACGGGAGCAAGGAGAGGAAAGGAGGACATTGGAAGGAACTGTTCAATGGAGAGGCACACAGATAGATGGGAGAGCACCGGCTTTTGGAGAAAGGCAGTGCCCAATGTGGGTGGGACATAGGGAATTGGGAGAGAAAGTTGTAAAGAGAATGGAGAGCCTTGCAAGTTGTCCTAAGCCCTTTCAGGCACCTTTTTCTCATTTTCTGGAATTCCCAAGGGACGGGAATATAGCCAGAATAGTGGCCACCGCACCCCTTTCTTCTCCCTGCCCCTCCCACTCTGCTCCCAGCATTGTCAGGGCTTGGGAGAAGCCCTTGTCATGGAAGATTAGAGGAGCCTGGAGACCGAGCTTCACAGTGGAGTGGAGTCATACTCTGGCAAAAGGCCCAGCGCAGGTCAGGAGAGCCACATCCAGAGGACAGCGTTAGCTAACCAGGCTCCCTTTCTCCAGGACACTGGGAACTGCCAGCCCTGCAGGCCTTGGCAGAGGTTCTGCAAAGAGAGGAAGGAGAAAACCTGCCTTTGGCCTTGAGTCATGCCAGCTTTTACTAGCTGTGTTGTTCCTGCTTCAGCCTGTCAGAGCAGGAGCCTCAGTTTCCCCTAAGCCCGCAGGCAGTGGCAGTGTCCCACAGCCAGGGTGCAGTGAGGCTGTGCAGTGTCCCACCAACGACTGCACTGATTTAGAGTCTGCGCCTGTGCCACTCCCTTCATTTCCTGGCAGCTCTCTCAGGGACCAACACAAATGCCGAGGTCGGAACATATCTGCAGACTCGATTTGGGTCTCTTCTCAGGGATCCCTGAGCAGGTGAGGCAGCCTGTGCCGGCTGCTGCAGCTCACACCAAAGATGACATCCCCTCCCGCTCCACATAGCGCGGTACCTCTCTCATTGGATTTCCCATTACTGCAACTTCTGGTTTCTATGGCAACTTGTCAAGACCTGCAATTGTGGCTTTTTGAAGTCTAAAATGGGAGCAGAGGTTTGCGATAGGGTGGGGACATGGTATTTTCAATACCATGATTTAGGCACAGAGGGTTACAGGATAGGAAGTTGTTTGAGTTAGAAAAGTGGCACCATCACCCCAGCACAGCCTTACAGGGCTCCACATGGCCCCTCTAAGCCTGCTGGGATCTCTGAGCGGAGGGAAGAAGAGCCTGAGCTCAGCGTCTTCAGCCTATGCCCCAGGGAACAACGGAGTCAGGTGGGGTGATCACAGCTGGTGTTTGCTGAGCTCTTACTGTGTGCTAGGTGCCCTGTGACCGTCTGTGCTTTCGTTGCCTTATTAATCCCCTCAACCACTTGGAGACGGCTGCTGTCACCCCGTTTCATACATGTGGACGTGAGCGATGTGCCTCACGTTTCAGGGCTGCCACACGTAAGTGCCTAGTTAACACCTGGGCTCTCTCTTGTCTGGGTCATGGCTTACGTTCCCTGTAGGAAAATCTCCATTGCTTGTTGATGGGGGGAGTGCCCCTTGCTTCCCCATTTACTTTTTTGTAAGTCACAGCCTACTGATAGCAGAGTTTGTTTTAGTCATCATTGCCAAAATTTCGGTGACCTTGAGCCAGTGTCTTCCTCTTTCCATGTCTCAGTTCTTCCATAGAGGTCACCTTTCCATGCCCCAGGGCTTGGAGTAGGGAGAGTGAGCTTGAGGAGTCTTCAGTTGGGTGGTGGTGTTTGAAAGAAGATCTCTTCCATCCCTGTGGTTTGGGGTCTTGGAGGTGGGCAGTCACAGAGAGCACCCGTTACCATGACTCAGTGAAGAACTCAGAGGAGCAGCCCCAGGTTTGGGGAACCAGCAAAGACACCCTGGCCAGGTGGAGAACCATCTCCTGGCTGGGCTGTTGGAGGGGGATCCAGTGCCCGGCAGAGGGATGGGGTGGCTCTCATGAGGCCCTGGCTGTCCTCTCAGAGGCGGCTGCTGCTAGGTGTTCATGGAGGGATGGGTCAGGTGCTAGCTATGCAGCTGGCCAGGCTCCAAAAGCCGGCTGTCCTGAGAGTTACTCAGCAGCCCGCAGTCCTCCGCAGCGCAGTAGATAAGGAACAGGCTGCAGGTGGTCAGGAAGGATAGCCCAGATTAGAAGGTGGTGTCAGGTGATAGCAGGCTTCAGGGTGACCCACACAGCCCCGTGTCATGCTCCGCCTCCACCCTACTCTGTACTCAGCACTCATCAGCAGGGTCGGAGGGCAGGCACCTGCAGAAGGTAGAAAAAGGATTTCACTTATAGCAAAATGTTTTGCTCTCTGTGGAACGGCCCGTTAAATCTTTAATTTATGGGCCGGCCCCGTGGCTTAGCGGTTAAGTGCGCGTGCTCCGCTGCTGGTGGCCCGGGTTCGGATTCCGGGCGCGCACCAACGCACTGCTTTTCTGGCCATGCTGAGGCCGAGTCCCACATACAGCAACTAGAAGGACGTGTAGCTATGACATACAACTATCTACTGGGGCTTTGGGGGAAAAAAATAAATAAAAATTAAAAAAAAATAAAATAAATGAAGCCTCGTGTGATCTGTCATTTAGCTATACTTTTCAGTATGATCAGAATTACCTCCAGTAAACATAATGTTTGCCTTCGGTGGGGGAGGTAGTACCTGGAGTTCTGTCTCTTAATCTGGGTGCTGTTAGGGGGTGTGTACAGTTTGCAAAAATTGAGCTCAACGTTTAGGACTTGTGCACTTAGCTGTATGTATGTTACACTCCACGAAGAAGTTGGAAGAAAAATGTATTCTGTAGTGACTTCAAAGGCCATCCTCTCACATCTGTGTTTTCTTTTACAGCTAAAACTAGAGGACCGCTCCGTGGTGCCCCGGGATGTGGTCCGGCACATGCGATCCACCGTGAGTCCTGCGTTCCCACCCCTGGTGGGGGGTTGCCTAGGGATTGTCTGGGCCGGGTCTCCCGTGGTGGCTGGCACTGTGCACCTACACGGGCCTGGATGCCTTCTCCTCCCCAGGACAGTCAGTGTGGCACTGTGATAGACGTCAGCATCGACTGCGCCGTCAAGCTCATCGGCACCAACTGTATCATCTATCCTGTCAACAGCAAGGACCTCCAGCACATCTGGGTGAGCCTCCCCACCTGCCAGCCCTCTTCTGATTTTCTTCTCTCTGCTCTCCGGTCCTCTCCATGGCACGCAAGTGCTGCGCCTTCCAGGTCAGCTCACTCCCTTGTAAGCTGATTGTCTCTTCCTATGAGTAAGCCACATAGACATGAGGTCAGACGCGTCCTGACATCTCCAACATAGATCTCAGGTGTCATTTCCTTTCTCCTCTAACACTTTTTTTTAACAAATTTCTTTTCAATAATTTATTTTTTAAATGATTTCAAACTTACCGAAAAGTTGTAAGTTCCTATGTCCCCTGCATCATCCAAGTTCCTCAGCTGTTGACATTTCACCCATTTGCTCCATCACCTTTCCTCCCTCCTTCTCCACATCTCCTTCTCTCTCTATAGTCTTTTTTGCTGAAACATTTGAGAGCAAGCTACAAACAGGATGCCCCATGACCGCTAAGTACCACAATGTGTATTGCCCCAAAACAAAAACACTGTCCTGTAACCACCAGTCAGCCCCCAGTTTAGGAAATCAGCACTGATAGATTACTGTCCCATCCACAGACCCCATTCAGTTGTCCCAACAATATCCTTTTTCCCTTTCTCATCTAGGATTCCATTCAGAAACACACTTTGCATTTAGTTGTCGGCTCCCTGATTCCTGCAGTCTGGAACAGTTGTTCAGTCTTGTTTTGTCTTCCATATCCTCATACATTCCGTTGGATGACTCTGAGTTTGGAGCTCTCAGACGTTGCCTCTTGATCAGCCTCAGGCCCTGCATTCTTGGCAGGACTGCCCCATAAGTGCCGCTGAGCTCGTTCCTGACCCATAGCCTCCAGTGGCTGCACCAGGGGAATGCTCACCTTGATCCCTGGTTGTGTGGGTGTCTGCTATGCCCCTCCACCATCAAGTCACCATTTACCCCTTTTGATTATCTGTTGTGGGGAGATATTCTGGGATTGTGTTAATAACCTGTTGCTTGTCAAACCCCAATCCACCAGCCTTAGTCTCCATTAACAATTCCCACCTGAACCAACCCAGCACTCTGATGGTCACTAAATGGTAATTTTATGACTCCATTGTTCTCTCCTCATTTTTAGTAGTTGGCATTCTACTGTGTGGAAGAGCTTTACCTTCTGCCCCATTGATTTATTTATTCATTTTTTTATATCAGTATGGACTCAGAGATTCCTGTTTTATTCAATTGGTTGTAATCCATTACTACCATTATTTGTTTTATTGCTTCAGGTATCCCAGATTTGGCCAATAGGCACCCCTTCAAGCTGGCGTCTGTGTCCTTTGGACATGTCCCCATCATTTTTTTTTCTAGCACCTTCTTAACTTTCCACCTTGTGTTTTGTTCTGATCTAGCCTTGGAATCAGCTGTTTCTCCAAGGAGCCTTAGTTCCTCTCAGAGGAGAATGATATTTTAAAAACCAAGATCTGAATGCGTGCTAGGTATACTAATTGCTACTAGTCCCTTTCAGGACAGCACTAGGAAATGCACGTACAGTCATACATCGCTTAACAACAGGGATACATTCTGAGAAATGCGTCGTTAGGCGATTTTGTTGTTGGGTGAACATCATAGAGTGTACTAACACAAACCTAGATGGTATAGCCCACTACACACTTAGGCTATAGGGTACTGATCTTATGGGACCACCATTGTATATGCGGTCTGTCATTGACCGAAACATCATTTTGCAGCTCATGACTGTATGTTACACATTTAGACATACACACATCTAAGTTTGTCAGTACCTATTCTATGTATACATTAAAATGTATGAGTTCATCCTGATACCTCTAATTCCATTTCAACACCCCAGATTCTTTCTCTCCTTCCCCGTTATATATTAGTGAGTACCTTCCCCAACAGTGAGAAACTTGGCCCTTGATAGCCTCAGTATATTTATTTATTTACTTAAAACACTTTACTTATTTATCCATGTAACCAATCTCCACCTGCCACCTCCACAGCCCGCTCCCACCCAAGAGTCCTGTGTCTTTGGATGCTGTCAGGCCCCTGCATGACTCTCCATCACCATCAGGCAGCCCCCCACCACCTCCTCCTCCTCACTGGGAAGGGGAGTTGGGATGCAACTTAGAACTTGGGGGGAAAGCCTATTGTAGCAGTTATTTAGGTCCAGTAGCCGACTGGTCCAGGCAATAAGCTATCTAGATCCTTCTTCCTCTGTCTCAGTGGGGCAAAGAGGAATTGATGCCCCGGACACCAGTGTCATCTGCCATCTCTCACACCCCCGTCCCCTTGATCTGCAGCCCTTCATGTATGGGGACTACATTGCCTATGACTGCTGGCTGGGGAAAGTCTATGACTTGAAGAACCAGATCATCCTGAAGCTGTCCAACGGTGCCAGGTACATGTCTCGCCACAGAGGAGCCGTCCACTCAGCAGCAGCAGCCTGCTGAAAAGAGGGGAGAAGGGTGTTTGCTCATGGGCCTGTGATGATGGGTTTCATCGAGAGCCATGGCAGATGCTGCAGGCATTTGGGGCCTGACCCTGGGCTGGTCTCCTTATTGCTCTGGCCTAATTCTCTCACTCAGTTTCTGCTCTTTGCTCCCTCTTGGCTTGGGGAGAGAGGCATTATCTTTTAGAATATCTGCTGGGGCTGATGTTTTATTTTAGACACTTTAGTGATGGTTAGCCCTCAGATATGGGGTCAGGGTCTTGTTCATTTTAGGAGAGTCACTTGTACCAGTACAGAGGCTGAGCTGTGGAAAGAGCATGAATTTTGCCATTTTAAGGCATGCTGACATTTGACGCCTCTGGATAACTCTTTTTGATATTGATCAGCACCATACTGTGTCCTGGCTGCCATGCCTCCCCTGAGACTCAGTCACTGTGCTCTGGTGAGACCAAGCCCCTGTTCACTGTTTCAGGTGCTCCATGAACACAGAAGATGGTGCCAAGCTCTATGATGTCTGCCCACACGTCAGCGACTCGGTTTGTTTGCTCCACCCAGGCGGGCTTCTTGGTGGGGGAGGCTTCTGGGGGGCGGGCCTCAGGGCGGCCACCAATCTCATGCTTCTTAGCCCTCTGGACTGCACAGGAAGGAAGACTTCTCAGCAGAGAGCTTGTAGCTGTCCCGGGCTAAGTGCTGCTTCTAGGCAAAGTGTTTTCCTAGAAAAGGGGTGGATGTGTACCAAAAGGTCTAAAAGTTTGGGTGTGGGCAGAAAGTATTAGAACTTTTCTTTGCATTTTGTTAATTTTTCAGCTCATTCTTTTAAAAATCTCCATTTTTCTGTTTTCGAGTATATGTAGTATTTTACTACAATCTGATATTTTAGAACAGTAGTATATGATACAATTTGTAAACAGGTATCCTTCAGGGGGTGTGTGTATGATCAAGTTTGGGGACCCCTACCCTCTAGAGCTTTAATCCTCAAAGTGTCACCCCCTCGACCAACAACATTCACATGGCCTGAGAGCTTGTTAGAAACAAAGTGAGTCAAATGTGCATTTTGAGAAGATCCTTGGGTGATTTATAGGCACCTTAGGTTTGAGAGGTGCTGCTCTGGAGCCTTAGAGTTTGTTTTAGCCTGTGGGGGAGTGCAGGTATTGGGTGAGCAGGGGCCAGGGAAGGAGTGGGGGGCAGGTACAGAGAGCACCTTCCCTGAGGAGGCATGGCTCACAAGAACTTTCCTCTGGCCCCAAATCCTGCAGGGTCTGTTTTTTGATGATTCCTACGGCTTCTACCCAGGCCAGGTGCTCATTGGCCCCGCCAAGATCTTCTCCAGCGTCCACTGGCTCTCGGGAGTCAAGCCTGTGCTTAGCACCAAGAGCAAGTTCCGAGTGGTGGTGGAGGAGGTAGGGGCTGTGGATGAATGAGGGGTGGGGTCAGAGTCCTTGACCCCCAACTGGAGCTGAGCTTCTGCACACGGCTTCCTTGCCTGCTCTGAAGGCTAAGCCCTGCTACTCAGCGTCTGGGCCCCGTTGATCTGAGAGGGCTTTGAGGATAAAAAGAACGCAGGCTGTGGTCGTGGAATGACCAATAGGAGGATGTCTCCCGGCCTGACCAACCTGGGTTAAGCAAGGTGGAAGAGTGGCAAGTGGCAGGTCCACTGGGCTCTAACTGGTGGTGATCCTGGGGTGGGGCTGTAGTTACGGGTGGGGCCTGCTCTGAGGGTATCATACTCGGTGCTACACTGTGAAGACCTGCTTTCCTGCTCTGGAGGTCAGGTGAGCTCTGGGCAGCTGCTTAAAGTGAGAGCCGTTAAAACCTGCTGACCATGGCCCTGTCCCACCCACCAACTCCAGGTGCAGGTTGTGGAGCTGAAAGTCACATGGATTACCAAGAGTTTCTGTCCAGGGGGCACGGACAGCGTCAGCCCCCCGCCCTCTGTCATCACCCAGGAAAACCTAGGCAGGTGAGTGGCTCTAGCGTGCCGCCCACTCCAACAACCCCAGGGGCATGCCCTGAGCAAGTCTCTGGCCCAAAGTCACAGGTGCCTGGAGGGCCAAGAACACTGCTGGCCCAGCCCCCGCTTCTCCTCCCTTCCCCTCCCAGGGTGAAGCGTCTCGGATGCTTTGACCATGCTCAGCGGCAGCTTGGGGAGCGCTGTCTGTATGTCTTTCCAGCCAAGGTAGAGCCGGCCAAGATTGCCTGTGAATGTCCAGAAAAACACTGCGCCCAGGGGGAGGGCTCTATGGCCAAGAAGGTATGTCCTTGGGGTTGGGGTTGGCGGGCGTTTGAGGAACTGGCCTTGAGCCATTTCCACAGCCAAGAAGGACAGTCTGTGCTTTAGGCCTTGGGGGGCAGCCCTGATGACTCTTGCAGGCCACTTAGGTGTGTATAGCTATCCCCCCTCAGACCAAGCTGCCTGGGGTCAGGCCTGCCTGGGTGTCCCACACACCCAGCGCGGAGCCATGTCAGCCCTGCTGCTCCACAGCTCCCGCCCTCCCTGCTCTGCCCTCACAGGTGAAGCGCCTATTGAAGAAGCAGGTTGTGAGGATCATGTCTTGCTCCCCGGACACACAGTGCTCCAGGGACCATTCCATGGAGGACCCAGGCAAGAAAGGAGGGGCCAGAGCCAAGAGTGAAGCAGGGTCTGCTAGCCCTGAGGAGACGCCTGATGGGTCCGCCAGCCCGGTGGAGATGCAGGACGAGGGACCAGAGGAAGCCCAAGAAGTGGGTGAGCAGCTGCCCCCCTTCCTGCTGAAGGAAGGTGGAGACGACAGGCTGCACTCGGCAGAGCAGGATGCAGATGATGAGGCCGCCGATGACACGGATGACACCAGCTCGGTGACCTCCTCTGCCAGCTCCACCACCTCCTCCCAAAGCGGCAGCGGTGCAAGTCGCAAAAAGAGCATCCCCTTGTCTATCAAGAACTTAAAGCGAAAACACAAGCGGAAGAAGAATAAAATCACTCGTGACTTCAAGCCGGGGGACAGGTAAACCCAGAGGGCACCCTCTCCTTCCCAGCTGAGTGTCTAGCCTGAGACCATTCACACGCACACGGATGTGTACACATGGTCTGCAAGCCCTATAAAGGCTCAGGGGTGCCCTGCCAAGATGGCATAGGTGCCTAGGGTTGGCCTGGGTGTCAAGGAGAGATCTGGGAGTGAGGTGGAGAGTGGGTTGGTTGCGTTGGCCCCAAGTCTGGCCTCTGGACCCACATTCACTTGAGCTGTGCCAAACGGGGCCCCTCTCAGAGGAGGTCGCAGGGCATGGGAACTGCAGGTGAGCATCCACTCACCTGTTTTTCTTCCATCTTGCCTGAGATTGAGAGTTTCAGGCTACCAAGCCCACAGAGAGGGAGGAGTAGAAAGAGTACTTGCCCTTTCCTCTGGGAAGGGTTTTGTGTGGCCTGGCTCACTGGTACCTCCTGCAGGGTGGCAGTGGAGGTGGTGACCACGATGACCTCAGCAGACGTGATGTGGCAGGACGGCTCTGTGGAGTGCAACATCCGCTCCAACGACCTCTTCCCCGTGCACCACCTAGACAACAATGAGTTCTGCCCTGGAGACTTCGTGGTGGATAAGCGAGGTAGTGCCAGCTCCAGAAGGCCGTCCCTGCTGAGGGCCCAGGCAGGGCTTGGGGATAATGGGCCAGAGGTCTCAGGGTCAGGGTGGAGACTCCCCTCTTGAAGGTGACTTGCTCTTTTGCGGACTAGGGGAGCCTTTTCTGACCTCTACTAACATAGCCAGGGAACATCTGTGTTCTATGCCTTGCTGTTGTTGAGATGTAATGGGTGGGTGGGTGGCAGGCGGCACCACCAGGGCTCCCTAGCTAGTTGTGTTCCCTCCTCTGGTTCCCTAGTCCAGAGCTGTCCAGACCCCGCTGTCTACGGTGTGGTGCAATCTGGGGACCATGTGGGTCGCACCTGCATGGTGAAGTGGTTCAAGCTGCGGCCAAGTGGGGACGACGTGGAGGTGAGCGTGTGCAGCCCTCGCTTCTGCCTTCAGGGTTGGCTCTGGTGGGCTGGGTATGGGGCCCCGTCGGCTCATGACAACCCATCTTATGCCCCAGCTGATTGGAGAAGAGGAAGATGTGAGCGTCTACGACATTGCTGACCACCCTGACTTTCGCTTCCGCACGACCGACATCGTCATCCGCATTGGCAATACTGAGGATGGAGGTCCTCACAAGGAGGACGAGGTACATCCAAGTTCAAGTTTCGTTGGCTGCTCCCCATCCCATGCAGCAGCTGCAGTCCCTGGTGATGCCACCAGGTGGCTCCAGGAGATAAGACCTGCAAGTTTTCTGGGCTCCCTGTCTCCGCCTTAAGCTCCTTCCCTGGCAGAGCCCGCAGTGGAGCTGCCACTCAACCTGACCACCCACGCAAGGACTCACCTGCCTGCCAGGATCAGAGGTCACTACATAGCTGCTCCTTGAGCCCCACTGGTTCCATTCATTAGGGAAGCCTAGCTCCTTGTCCTAAGTGCCATGAGCATAATGTCGAGTGCTGTAGGAGAGGCTCGGGAAGGTGGCGTCTGAGCTGGTCCTTGGAGAACAGGTGGGTGGGTGGGTGGGGTCAGGCAGATTCCAGGCAGAGGAATAGTAGGAACGAAAGTCCTGAGGCAGGACTCCCATCCTGGGAATGTCAAGAATCCAGGAGGCACCAGAGTGCTGTAGGTAGGAAGGGAGTGCGTGCAAGCTTATGTTCTCAACTGCCAGGGGAAGAGGTGGAAGCTCAGTGGACACTGCATGTTGGAACTATTTGAACAAGAGGGTCCTAACTTGAGTTGCTGGCCGTGGGCTCTGGCCACACCCACATCCCTCCATCCTCACAGCCTCGCCCTCACCACCCACTGCTGCAGCTCCCTTTTGGAGGTTGTCTGGCTCTTGCCCCTCCTGGAGTGCTGTACCCTTGACCCTGTCCCATTTGCCCTGCAGCCATCAGTGGGCCAGGTGGCCCGTGTGGACGTCAGCAGCAAGGTGGAGGTGGTGTGGGCTGACAACTCAAAGACCATTATCCTGCCCCAGGTAAGAGCCTGCCAAGACCCAAAGCACTCGGCTTGCAACTATGGCAGCTGGGCTGGGAGCCATGGCCTGTCTCCTGCTCCTGCTCAAGAAACAGGAAGATGAACTCTCGGATCTTCCTGGCGAGGGAGTCTTCTTTTGGGTATTAGGGTCTTGGGGAAAGCTTAAGAGGAAGGGCACACAAGGCCCTGGGGTGAAGGAGTCCCGAGAACAGAGTTAGCCCACAGCTGATCCGTAGTCTCGCCCCACCTGGCAGGCTCCTCAGGTTGCCAGGTACGTGTAGATTTTCATAAGCTTCTTGGATTTTCCTGGATCCCCATCTCACTGTGCTAAGAAAACTCAGGTTACTTCCTGGAGGAGAGAGCCTCTCCCACCAAGATTTCTAGGAAAACTTGCACAGATCAGGAAGAGAAAGGAGATGAGCTGGCCCCCATCCCAGCCCCAACTGGTGGGTTCTGAGCAGCAAGGCTGTTCTTGGTACCATTCTTTTGCCCCCTTGTTTAAGCCCATCTGCTCACCCCAGTTCCCCTTTCCTGGTACCTTCACAGGGTGGGGGAGGGAGTGGCTCACCCCCTTGTCTAGGCAACCATTGCAGGGACGTGGGAACAGGATGTGACACAGGCCAGCTCTCCCGAACTTCCCCCTCCCCGCATGTTCCCAGCTCCCAATGCAGCCCCACAAAGGCCACTGACCTGAGTCTTCTGGAGGTGGGGCTGGGTTTGCCCCCAAGGGCAAATGCTGACCTGACCAAGTGCACACGGGGAGGGGAGGCTGGGACAGGCTGGTGGCTGGGGCTTCGGGTCCTGCTGGAGGTGATGGGTGAAGGCACCTTTCAGAGACTTAGGGAGCACCTAGCACAGAGTAGTCCAACTATAGAGTCCAGAGCAGGAAAGAGGAAGGGTAGAGTGGGGCTGCCGAGGCCTTGGTGCGCCCAGTCACCATCAGCTCTGAGGGTCGGAGTCCCCAGAGCCTGGCAGAGCTCCTCTGAGTTGCCTGCGTCTGTCTGTCCCCAGCACTTATACAACATTGAGTCTGAGATCGAGGAGTCAGACTACGACTCGGTAGAAGGCAGCACAAGTGGGGCATCCTCGGATGAGTGGGAGGACGACAGTGACAGCTGGGAGACAGACAATGGGCTGGTGGAGGACGAGCACCCCAAGATAGAAGAGCCCGCCATCCCACCCACTGAGCAGCTGATGGCCCCTGAGGAGGACAAGGGGGTGGTGATCAGTGAAGAGGCTGCCACGGCTGCCATTCAGGGGGCTGTGGCTATGGCCACCCCTGTGGCTGGGCTGATGGAGAAGGCCGGCAAGGACGGGCCCCCGAAGAGCTTCCGGGAGTTGAAAGAGGCCATCAAGATCCTGGAGAGCCTCAAGAACATGACTGTGGAGCAGCTTCTGACGGGCTCGCCCACCTCACCCACAGTGGAGCCTGAGAAACCAACTCGGGAAAAGAAGTTTCTGGATGACATCAAGAAGCTGCAGGAAAACCTCAAGAAGACCCTGGACAATGTGGCCATTGCAGAGGAGGAGAAGATGGAAGCAATGCCGGACACAGAGCGCAAGGAGGACAAGCCCGAGGGGCAGTCACCTGTGAAGGCAGAGTGGCCCAGTGAGACCCCGGTGCTCTGCCAGCAGTGTGGCGGCAAGCCCGGAGTCACCTTCACCAGCGCCAAGGGCGAGGTCTTCTCGGTGCTAGAGTTTGCGCCCTGTGAGTTAGCCCTGTTTGTGTTAACAGATCTGGAGGCCAAGTGGCTACCCACTCCCAGCCCCCAGCTACCACCTGGCGGGAGAAAACTATTTCCCTGGTATGGTCACTGGACCTGGTGCCAGGAGAGGTGGGTGGGAAACATGGGCTTATTCATCCGTCCGGGGAGCACACCCAGCAGCTCCTCCCTCCAGGCCAAGCTTCCCAAGGGTGGCAGCTGTGTTTCCAGATAGAGCTCCCAGGGTCTTGCCATTAGGGATTGACCATTCTCTTCCCTCTCTAGCAAATCACTCTTTTAAGAAAATTGAGTTCCAGCCCCCAGAAGCCAAGAAGTTCTTCAGCACAGTGCGGAAGGAGATGGCACTGCTGGCTACCTCGCTGCCCGATGGCATCATGGTCAAGACTTTTGAGGATAGAATGGCAAGTAGCCTGGCGTGGGCTTGGTGTGGGCAGGTGCAGGTATGCTATGTGGGTGCTTGGTGCCCAAGAGACTGCCAGTCTTGGGCTCCTGGACCTCAGGACTGAGCGGCACCTGAGAGAGGCCGCCTACAGCCCCTTACAGGGCAGGGAACAGGCTAAGTCAGGTGAGGAGCAAGAGGCCTACATGTATCTAGACCAGATGGTTCGTTCTTTCCTTCTCCTTTTTAAAGTTAGTTAAATTATATAATTATTACCTGAGTCTGCTCTTCTTTTTGAAAAATTAGAACATTATAGAAAAAACTAAAGTTGCCGTGACCAATCCTCACCCAGAGATTATGACTTGAGGAGTTTCGTGGATCTCCTTCCAGATGACCTTTTTTTATATTTTTACGTTCTCATGCATCGCCACAAACACATAGTATTTTGTATTCATGTATATAATTTGCTTTTTTCACTCAACAGGCTGACTTTTGAGACCTACCCACGTTGATTCATATTGATCTAGTTCATTCCTTTTTAGCTACAAAATAGTATCCCTCATGTGGCCACGTCACTCCACTTTCCACTTCTTCATGGCCTGCCCCAGCATTTGAGTCATGCTGCCGGAGGCAGTGTGAGCACCTCTTTGTTCCAGGAACGGGCAAGCCCATTCCGTCTGCCACCATATTTATTCAACAAACCTTTACTGGGCCCCTGCTGTTTGACGGGCACTGTGCGAGACACTGAATTTGAGTGTGACCGAGGCCTCAGCTCTAACCCAGCCCTGAAGGAAGGGGCCTACGAAGAGGGGCACTGTTCAGATGGACCCACAGCAGGCCAGAAACCACAGAGCAGGGCTGGGAGCTCATAGACTGTCAGTGCCGCTCAAAGTTCTTAATAATTCTTTTGGATTTTCTTGGGTTGTAGTAAAATTTCTTTTGAAAATTCCAACCCATCTCAGATCTGCTGAGAGAAGAAGGGAACGGTATTTTTTGTTTTTTTCTGTTTTTTTCCTAATCTTAGAGGGAAAAGGAATTCGTGTACTATCTTGTGGCCCACAGGGTGGCAACCAGTAAGAATAGACACGAGAGGATTATGTCATTCCAGTTAGTACTTTGCCCTCACCGTTTTCCCAGCTCATCCCTCACCCCCATGCGCATGGCCCTGGCAGCTGATACCACCCCCCACCTCCCTACACTCGCAGATTTCGCATGTCGAAAGAGTCTCCATAGTGACTTAATGACCTGAGTTTCTTTGGTGGTCTCCCAGCATTTTCTCCTGTAGTTCAAATCGCCTTGTCCCTCTGGTTCTCTAAAAGCAAGTACAGCCTTGCCATCCTGGAATGTTCTTTCATCTTCTCATTGGTTGTAATTGTTGCTTGCCTTGTTGGAGTAGGGGTCAGGGCAGGTGTTTTGAGGAATACAACTTAAAAGTAATGATTTATGAAGGAAAAACCTGGTAGAATAAAAACCAGTTTGGAAAATTCCTTTTATACCAGGAGTTAAAAGATACCAAGTAGATCTACACAGAGATCTTTGCATTTAGCTTCCCTGTTCCTGGTGGCGTCCCAGGGAGCTGCTCCTCCTCCACTCACTGCACAGCACTCTGGAAAAGAGCAAAACCAGACAACACATGCAGAAGCCCCCCACCAACCTCAGCCTTCCCTCCCTGTAGGACCTCTTCTCGGCCCTAATCAAGGGCCCCACTCGCACCCCCTATGAGGATGGCCTCTACCTGTTTGATATCCAGCTCCCCAACATCTACCCGGCCGTGCCCCCCCACTTTTGCTACCTCTCCCAGTGCAGTGGCCGCCTGAACCCCAACCTGTATGACAACGGGAAGGTGTGTGTCAGCCTCCTGGGCACCTGGATTGGAAAGGTGAGCACGGTGCCAGCACCCAGTCGGGATACGGGGAGAGCCAGTGTGGTGGGGTGTCTGGGACAGAGTTGATCGTGCTGTCTATGTATTTCAGGGGACAGAGAGGTGGACAAGCAAATCTAGCCTTCTGCAGGTGCTCATCTCCATCCAAGGTACCATGGGTAGGATGCGGAGGACTGCTGGGGGGCACAGTGACTCTGGCCTGAGGCTCCCTCCAGGTCTTTCCATCCCCCACCTCTTGCCTGTAGCTCTGGCTGTCCCCTCTGGGGTTGAGGTCAGGCCTGCCCTAATGGGCTTGTTCCTCCACAGGTCTAATCCTGGTGAATGAACCGTACTACAACGAAGCCGGCTTTGACAGTGACCGGGGCCTGCAGGAGGGCTATGAGAACAGTCGCTGCTACAACGAGATGGCGCTGATCCGCGTGGTGCAGTCGATGACCCAGCTGGTACGGCGGCCCCCCGAGGTCTTCGAGCAGGAGATTCGGCAGCACTTCAGTATCAGCGGCTGGCGGCTGGTGAACCGCATCGAGTCCTGGCTGGAAACCCATGCCCTGCTGGAGAGGGCCCAGACGTTGCCCAACGGGGTCCCCAAGGACAGCGGCTCTCCAGAGCCGCCTGCTGTGACCGAGCTCTCAGACTTCGGCCGAGAAGAACCTGAGGATGGAGGGCTGGCCCTTGGAGAGGCCTCTCAGGGCTCAGACTCGGAGGGTGGTGCCCAGGGCCCGGCCTCAGCTAGCAGGGACCACACAGACCAGACTTCGGAGGCAGCGCCTGACGCCTCAGTGCCACCCAGTGTCAAACCAAAGAAGCGGAGAAAGAGCTACCGGAGCTTCTTGCCTGAGAAGAGTGGCTATCCTGACATCGGCTTTCCCCTCTTCCCACTTTCTAAGGGTTTCATCAAGAGCATTCAGGGTGTCCTGCTGCAGTTCCGGGCCGCTCTCATAGAGGCAGGCATGCCTGAGAGCACAGAGGACAAGTAGCCGCCAGCCCCTGAGGAAGGAGCATCACAGTGGGGAGAGGCCAGCTGCTGCCTGCTCACTCCCTTCCCCAGAATCTCCCCTCTTGCCATTTTCTCCTCTGTCTCCAATGCCAGCCCCCCGTTGCCCTCGTTTTCCCAAGGTGAGTTTGATGCTGAAGTGCAAGAAGTTTCTTGAGATGCTGCCATTTCTATTTTGAAGCAGTCTTTCAACAGGGGGGTTCCCTGTGGCAAAGAAAATCTGAACCCTGTTGCTGATGTTCCACTTGTCACTCCAGGCAGAATGTCCCGGCACTTGCTCCCTTACCATCTCCATCTCAGGTCAGAGGTGGGGTCTTCCTAGGGCCTGACCTAAGGGCTCACTTGGGCTCAGTGCTGTGCACATCAGCAGGATGAGTGGATGTGCCTTGCATGAAGTGTGGGTTGCTCCAGCAATTCCCCTGGTCCCTTTCAACCTCTTCAGTTCCTCTGAAGTTTCCCTGTGTCTCAGGCCCTCCTGCTGCCACCGCTATCAGTTCCTCCCTCATCCCCCAGCATCACCACCCTTCCTTGGGAGTTGCAGCTGCTGTCACTGACTTCTGGGTCTCCTCTGGCCCGCTTACCACAGGATAGCCCTCAGGCCTGTTGAACTTGCTCTCTGAGAGAGGTTGGGACCAGGCTGGGTTCAGGGTGACACACGGGAGAGGTGGTGGCCCTCACACTAACGTGGAGTGAGGACCAGGGAGCTGCTGGAAAGGAAGCAGTTGTAGGTGCCTTGCTCTTCCTGTCCCGGGTGGCGGGGGGATCGGCAGTTCTGGCCGTGAGGCCTCGCCTGCTTGGACTGAAGCTGATGATGACTGCTCCCTGCTCAGCCCCATCCCGGGGCCCCAAGAGGCTGGAGCAGCAGCACAAGCAAGGCCAGGGCAAGTGCTGGGGCCTCTCCCACAGACTTTGCCCCTCCCACTATCAAATGCTAATGCTGGGAGGCTGTGGGAGCTCACTGAGCACGGAGCCAGCCAGCCCTCCTGTCAGCCCTTTGCTTACAAACTCTGTAGGCTCAATCTGGGGAGAGGATGGTGGCGGCAGGGGTTCTCCTTCCTTGCAGAGACAGCCCAGAGGTTTACAAGTTTTCTAAGCTTTTGATAATGTGAAGCTCCAGGTTAAGAGGATGCTGTTGAGCACATTGCAGCTATGTAATTTTTGGTGTATGTATGTAATATTTAAGGTTGAAAGAAAATAAATCTCAAAAGCAAAGATATTAACTCTTATTAGGAAAAAAAGAAAAAAAAAAAAGAAGCCAAAGCATGATGCGTCTTGTCCGCCTTAAGCTGGCTCCACACCTGTGCTGTGCCATAACCACCCAGTGGGCAGCAGCTGCGGGAAGGATGGAGCTGGACCATGGGCCGTGGCATTTGGAGCCCAGAGTCAGTATCTTGTTTGGGAAACATCCAGAGTGAGTGGTGGGGCTGTGCTTCCCAGTGCGTTGTTCATGTGGAGATGTGAATGCCTACTGCTTAAGATATCTGTATAAAGTGCTGTGTGATTAAAACTTTTTTTTTACTTGCATTTTTTTTGTTTGGCTCATTCACAGTGTACAAAAAAGACAAGGTGGCACCATTAAACCTGCCTCTGCCATTCATCTGGGCTCTGTCGCCTTTCTTCCCCTGTGGGGCACCTCGCACACCCCTTCCTAGGGGAAGGAAAGACCCCTGTTGCCTGAGAAGGCTCGTGGCAGCAGCATCTTCCCCCTGCCCAGTCTGCTTCCATGCCTTCTGCGTTTCCAGTCATAGGATTCACAGGAGCTGGGAGATCAGGATCTAGAAGTTCGGTGGGTCAGTGCTCTTGCCTCTGGACAGGGCTGTGTTCCATTCTTCAAGAGCCCATTTTTAGCACCGTCTGCTAGCAGCAGCCGTGGTCCCCAGGGACCTGCGATGGACCAGTTCCACCAGTTCCGTTCCTTCCAAATGCTGGGGGAGGGCCGGCCCCGTGGCTTGGTGGTTAAGTGCGCGCGCTCTGATGCTGGTGGCCCGGGTTCGGATCCCGGGCGCGCACCGAGGCACCACTTCTCCGTCCATCCTGAGGCCAAGTCCCACATACAGCAACTAGAAGGATGTGTAGCTATGACATACAACTATCTACTGGGGCTTTGGGGGGAAAAAATAAATAAATAAAATCTTTAAAAAAAAAAAAAATGCTGGGGGAGCTGACATCGAAGCACCTGGCCTGAGCTTTAAACTAAAATGGTTGCCCAGTTTGGGAGATGGGCATCTACCCCTCCTTGCTGATTCCTTTTAACTCCTGCCCAACACTCCACCAGGTTGGGGTGGGGTAGGGCAGAGGAGGTGGGGCAAGACTAGGGGAGACCTAGAGCCCTTACTGGAAGGATGACAGACTCCTTTTAAAAAGGGAATGATTGCCTGCCATTTTGACTTGTGTTGCTCCTTGCCAATTTCCCCGATGCCCCTAACTCAGAGACATTTCCCCTTTTCACTGAGACAAGATAGCTGTGTGGCCGTAGGTGAGACATACTAGCTGCAAGCCTGTCTTCCCAGGTGTGGAGTAAGGCAGTTGGCTAAGCTCCCTGGCTTTTTGTAGGCTGAAGGTGGTATAATCATTGGGCAGGGCCCCACCCCCTGCAAAATAAGCCAGGCCAGCTCTGGTCCTGTGCCCACCACCAAAACGACTATTCCCAGGGGCCAGTACCACGTGTTGCCCAATCCAGGAGGCACCACTTGGCATCACTGTTAAATTCTGGAGCCCTTGCAGGAGCAAGACCCCACTCCCTCCCCAACCCCTAGGATAAGACCAGTACGCTGGGAATGTCACTTTATTTAGATTTGATTCATGAGGTGGAACTTCCATAGGCAAGGGGGTCCAACCAGCTGGGCTTCTGGCCCAGGGCCTCATTCTGGCCTTTGTTGGGCAGAGTCTGTTCCTCCAAAGCACCTCCACCTTCCCACGCTTCTCCAGGAGTCCTGTCCCTACATGAGCTGTGGACAGGCCATCCAGTCCTGGGGGAGGAGAGAGGGTCCTGAGGCTCAGAGTAGAGTGAGTAGACAGACTACAGCATGACAAGGCCCTCGGAGTCATAAGAGCTCTTTTGGAGGTGGCCTCTATTGAGGCTTTGGGCTGGGCAGGGGCTGTGGCTCCAGAGAGGGTGGGGGCTCCATGCAGCCACCAACCATCCAGAAGTAGTCTGGGTGCACCTGGCCCTGCACAGCCTCACTGGCCATCAACTCCCCGTCCACAGTAATCACACCCTTCCCATCCTTGGGCTCCAGGCGGAAGGCAACCACAGGCACATACACCAAGTACGGACAGTCACACTCCATGTGCCTGCCCTTCTGCATGGCCAGGAAGAGGCGCAGCAGCATGGCCCGAGACACGCCTGCCCGCACGTAGAACAGATGCATAGTGCTGGCTGCACAGCGGCCCATGGGTGCAGCAAACATCTCGCTGCCCAGGTGCGAGTGCAGCAGCACCAGCACCAGCACAAAGTCCTGCTCTGGCACCACAGTCCAGTAGGAGGGCACTGGCTCTTCCAGGGGCACGAGGTGGGCATCCACAGGGCCCTGCTGGTCCTGCCGGTCCAGAGCGGGGGAGGTGGGCATCTTGGAGACCACCCTTTCTACAGGGAGGTACGCCAGTTGGCCCCGGTAGACACGCAGGGCTGCCAGGCGCAGGAAGGTGCCCAGAGTGAAGCGCAACTCCCCCAGGCACCGAAACTTCTCACTCTCCAGATCCACATCAGCAATGAAGCCCCACGCCAGGCTGAGCACTGAGAAGAGGCGCGGCCCCGAGGCCGTTTGCAGCGACAGCAGGTTCATGGGTGCCAACAGCCGGCGGCACAGCAGCAGCGTGCAGTTGGTCAGCAGGTCTTCATCAGTCACCTGCTCAAAGCTGCAGGGGAAAAAGGTCAGAGGGGGCAGGGCCGGAGCCCTCACTTATCCTCCGCTTCCTCCTCCTGGGGATTTGGGGCAGGCAAGTCGACACTGGGTCCCTAGGGAGTTGGCAGGAAGGACAGATGGAGCAGGTGGAGGCAGCCAGCTGGAGTCACCAAGAGAGGGCCCCAGAATTGAGGGTCGAGGCTCCAGAGAAGGGGGAATGGAAGTTACCCCAGCATATGGGAACTATAAAAGAAAACCTGGCAGTAGGGTGGTACTGAGGGGAAACTGAGGCCCACTCTGGCCCTTGGGCTCTCACCCAGCATAATGGTTCACAGAAGCTGCCACTGCATTGCCAGAGCCAGCTGGGAGGCTACACAGGGGCTTCCGGATGGCGGTCTCCCAGTCGGGCCGCTCCATGAGCCCGTTCACCACCTGTAGGAGCAAGGGTGGCCTCAGCCGAGGAAGCACCCGGCACCCTCCCACCCATGCCCAGCCTCCTGGTGCAGGCCTCACCTCATGCATCAGCCCATCTCCAGACATGACCACCAGCGCGTCCCAGCGTCCCAGCTGCTCCGCCCGCACCAGCTCCCGGGCGTGGTTCCGCCGCTCTGCAGAGACAGGGTGGCTATCAGGGCTGGCGGTTCCCATGCAGGAGATGCTCCCTGCACCCCCTCGGAGAGGCACTCACCAGTGTGCACGAGCGTGAAGGAGACATCCGCCTGGGCTAGCAGGGGCTGCACGTGGTTCCGGAAGAGCTCTAGGGCCTTGCCCTTACCGCTGCGCGGGTTCAGCAGCACCAGCACGCGGCAGGGCCGTGGGAGCTGGCTCCGGGGCCCCTTCGCTGTAAAAACAAACCCAAAAAGGCCGCGTCCCCAACCGACCACTAGGGGGCTGAGAATCACAACAGGGGCACCGGGATGGAAGCGTGGTGCCTGAAATCCCCGAGTAATTGATCCAATAGAGCCTGGCCAGAGGCAGCGGCCTCCAGTGGGGAGCTCCAGGGTGGAGCACCGCGCCCTTGACACCCTGGTCCTTGGCTCAGACCCGGCTAGCTTCTGGCCTTGTCGGGACAGTGTTTCTCTTGAGCGTCCCCAGCCCCTTCCTTTTGTCCAGCTGACTCTGGCCATCCTTCCTGGCGAGGGAGAGAAGGGATCTCCCTACAGCCCTTCCCCGCCAGGCCCCCACAAACCTGGATCCATAACCTCGACCCGCAGCTCCTGCTGCCAGGGGTCCCCAGCACTGTTGGGGCGCTGCCAGCTCCAGCGGCTCCTGCCTTCAGTTCCTTATCGGTGCTACCCAGGCGGGTGTCGCGGTGCTGGCTCTGGGGCTCGCCCTCCCCGCCTGAAGCCGGGGCTGTAGGGGCATCCGCGTCATTCCCTGCGGCTGCTGGATCTGAGGGAGAAGAGACAGCGCTGGCGGAATCTGGAGCGGCGCCTAAGGTGGGGGATGCCCAGCTAGACCCTCGGGGAGCCGCGCGCGCTCCGGAATCGCCTAGTTTTCCGAGAGGTCCAGAGAGCCTAGGCCAGGTGCTATCAAGGGCGCTGCCGTCCTAGAACTGAGCCCCCACGTCCAGAGGCAAAGGGTCTCTTCCTGGTGGCTCTCCTCTCGGGGCCTCAGGTTCCGGCCAGAGGATGAATCAGAGCCCCGTAGCTCTCTGGATCAAACCAGCTCCTCACCCCTTGTGGGCTGCCGGGGGCAGGTGAGTCCAGTTGCATAAAAATCCCAGAACGTGAGAGGACATCGAGAGGCACGAAGTTCGGGGCGAGCGATCGCTGCTCTGAGCCAGCCTGATCGCCGGGTCCCCTACCCAGAGCTCCAGAGCGGCCGGGGTCGCCGCACGCGCCGCGCTCGTGGGAACAGCGCCGGGGTCGCGCAAGGCCTGAGCCCGAGCCCGGCCGCCAGCTGCCGCCTCCCTCAGCCGAGTGCCGAGTGGGCGCGGACGCCGGGCGGTGCGTGGCCAGTTCCCCAGGCCGCCCAGGAGCCACAAGCGGCGAAAAGGCAGGGCGGGCGGCCCTACCCAGTCGGTCCGGTTTGTTGGGGAGACGCCATCTCCGTTCCCTACAGTGGCCTCGTCTTGGGCTCAGCCCCGCGTCTGAGGGACAACTGGAGCGCCGGGCAAACGCTGACTCCACGGCCTCGCTGCCTCCGGCCTCAAACTTTTCGTTCAACTTCGCCATCCAGCGCCGCGGCGCTGTGAGGGCGCTGTGAGGGCGCTGTGGCTCCGCGCCCGGCCTGGCCACGCCCCGCGCTCCTTGCACTCGCAGAGGTGGAACAGACACCCCGCGAGTCCTGGGCCCGCCCGCCCCGGGTCTCACCCGGCCGCCTGCGGCACGGTCAACGCCCACGGCTCAGCCACACGCAGGCTCTTGGCTGGGACCTGGAACCTGGTCACGCGCCCCCGCCGCTCGGAGTAGGCGACCGGCGAGAAGGCGGCGCTGCGGCCAGGCCGGAGGAGAGGTGGAGGCAGTCGGCGAGGCGCAGAGGCCCGAACCCGGCCACGAGCGGCGCGCCGCGAGCGCAGCGTCCCGGGCGCGTGAGGGTGAACGCGCAGCGCAGGCCCTGCGCGAACTCGCCGCGGCGCTCAAAGTCCGAGCGGCCCGGAGTGGGGCGCCGGGCGCGGGCGGCTCAGCGCTCCGGGCAGACCTTCGGCTGCCCCTGGACGCTACGACCTCCCGCTCCAGGGTCTTCCCGCAGAACTTACCCGCGCGGCCCGCAACGGGCATGCAGCGCCCCCTTCCCACGCCCCACCCCAGCCCGCTCGGAATTTAAGGCCCAGACACCCCCGGGTGCCTCTCCTCCGTGCTCGGACTTCTCTCCTGTCGCCCCGTTTTCCCCCATAGGATTATTTTTACCTTTCTGACGCGGCAGCTCGGCCGGCAGCCACCAAGCCCGAGGCAGCCAGGCGTGCCGTCCCGGGGAGGGCGAGCGACCGGCTGGAGGGCTTCGGTCCGGAGAAGGGGGCCTTGTCAAGAACCTCAAAAGTTGTATCCTTTCCCCAGATGACACTATTGAGGCTCACCTGGGCCAGAGAAGCTGCCCCGCAGCGGGCGATCCAGGCCCAAGCCCTTCACCCACCCGGGAGAAGCCTAGCGGTGTAAACAGGCCTAGGGGTCCCCACTGGGATTGAAGAGCCAAGCATCATCGGGGCGTATCCGCCGTCGCCCCCACTGGCTCAGCGGAAAGATGCAAACGCGCCCGGGAGGGAGGCGATGGAGGCAAACGGGGACGCGTGTGTCAGTGTGTGTGATATACATATCACAGGCAAGCGTCTGACCTGAAAGTGTCCGCCGCCAACTTGAATTAAATCCCTGGGGGGTTGTTTGCAGAGACCCGGGGGAGGAAGTTGCCAAGGCCGACTTGGTGACCTGACTTGGTAGGGCCAAAGTTAGAAAAAACCAAACCTCTGTAGGAGGCTGAGGTAGTCCAGGCTCAGGCTGCAGAGTGCTCACACCCACATCTGCCCCGACTTGGGGGGCGGGGCCCGAGGGTGGGGGCGGTGGGGGCGGCGCAGCCTGGGATGCGCAGGTCTGGCGTCCGGCAGCTCGGTGTGCGCCGCGGTGGTGCGCGCCTCCGCTCTGCGCGGTCCCCGGGCAACCCTGGCTGGGTCCTGAGCGTCCGGAGCACGTCCCAGGAAGGTGACTCAGCGACGCGCTCACGGGTCGAGAAACCCCACGAAACTAGGAACGAGAGGAGGGAGCTGGAGTGTCATCACCCTCTCGCAGCACCGCGTGTCCGCCTAGGTCTGGTCTTGAACCTCCGGGCCCGCCACGCTCCGGGAATCCGGCGCGGGGAGCGGAGGGCTGCGCTCAGCCGCAGTGCCGCAGTCACGCGGTGCGGGGATGCGAGCGGCGGCGGGAGAAAGGGGCTCAGTTCGGAAACCGGGAGCGAGATCCCGTCCTCTCTTCCCTTCCCCTCTCCTCCAGCGCGGGCTATGGCCGAAGTCTGGGCTTTGGCGCCTAAAAGACGCGGGACGCGGGGCGGTGCTCCCCGAGATCTCAGCTTTGGAGGGAGGTGGCTGCGGAGACGACCAGGGCAGCCTCTCCCTTCCTCTCCCCCGCTCGGGAGGGCACTTCCATCAGGCCTGAAAAGCCGCCGTCGTAAACCTTGGAGTCAGATGGGAAACTGAGGCACAAGGAAGCGAACACCTGGCTGTGCGTGAGTCCGTGGTGAGAAAGCCTGCCTGCCACAGGGCCCCTCTCTTCCTCCCGGCGCCCCAGGCTGGAGCCCCTGGAGTCTCGGGGGGCGGAGTTGACTAGAAACCGAGCGGGTGAGGAGAGGCGGAGCAGCCTGCTGGGTTCTTTATCCGGCGCCTCCGGGGCTCCCCTCCCGACTCAGGCGAGCCCAGTGGGAGGGAGGTGAAGGGCAAAGCCCTCTGGCCCGGGTTCCAGTCTGCACAATGGCTCTTCTGTCCTCCTGCCGCCTCTACCCGGCCCCCTGACCTCCACGGCCTCTGCTCTACTCCCTCATTCTTGTCATTCCCCTCCCCCGCCCCCAGGCTGCATGAAAAAGAATATGCCCACAGAAGAGAATTCAGATCCTAAAAGAACAAATCTCAGTCAAATCTTCCACACGGAGGCCATGTGAAGATGAAGGCAGAGATCGGGGCTCTGCCCCTCCCAGGCTGCCTCTCTGCAGGCCCACACCGCCTTCCAGCCCCTCTCTATAGAACTTGACCTCCTCTCCAGAAACTCACCCATCAGCATCCCTGGGCCGAGAGACAGGACTGGGCAAGAGCAAGATGCTTTTCCCCTTTTGACAACTGGGGGAACCGAAACCCTGAGAAGTGAAGGGTCTTGCCCAAGCTGCCAAACCAGTTCCCCACAGAGCAGAGAAGCAAACCCAGGAGCCGTGACCCCCAGCCTGGAAGGCTGAGCCTATCCCTGGCTGATCGCTGATGGCTGATGTTTAAGTATCTGTTGGCCTGATGGGTTGCTCGCCACAGAGCTTCCCCAGGAACCCAGAGTTTCAGAAGGAGTCTCCCGGAGGAAGGAGAAGCATCTTGAAGCACTTTCCAGCCTTTGTCCCCTAGGTCCTGATTAAGCAACTAGCCGCTGTGCCCAGAGAGGCCCACCATGGGCCTGGGTTCAGGCGCAATCCGACCTGACAGCCAACCTAGAGCCGGTAATACCTGTCTCACAGGTGAAGGAGACTGCCTCTCCATCTACCCCAGCCACCCGCTTCCTCCTTGTACACAGCCTTTCCAGGGAGACGCACCTGAGAACCCCGTTTTTTTTCCTTCTTCAGAGAAAGAAAGCAATTGTTCACCGGGCCTGGCCCCAGCTCTGTGGAAACTTGGAGCCAAGGCTGCCAGACGGCAAATGACTTGCTTTTATTGGGAGAGGATTCCTGCCACCTCAGCCGCCCCTGAGGCTACCTTCCGGCAGAGGTTTCAGCTCCCAAGTTGAATTGCAGGGCCTCAACGCCTCCCGAGACCACAACTCTTTTGCCTGGGAGGCTGCAAGGGCAAGGGAAGGGAGTGTCCAGCTCTGCAAACTCTTTTTAAGACTTGTGTTGTAGGACAGCCCCAGATGTGGCTTTCCATTCTGAGAGTTTCCTAGATGCTGGTGACCGTGCCAGGCTTGGGGGTGGTGGAGTGTGTCACGTGGAGATTCAGAAGAGCAGACTGGTCATGCAGGTTTCTTGGCTGCCTCCAGGAAGTGTTCCGAGTTTCTGTTTCTGCAGTGGTTCGGCTACTCTGGGTGTGTGCTGGGGTGAGCTTCACTCTACCCCTTGAGTGGCCTCCTTGTCCTTGTCAGTGCTCTTGCTGAGGCTGGGAATCCAGGTTTCTTCTGAGCCTCTGGGCTCTGCCTCCCACATGACTCACCCGCAGGCCTGCTGATCTTGACTACCGTCTAAGGTAATTAGCTTCCAGAGCCCTCTCAATGTGGAAGCCTGCGGGCCACACCCACTCCACTCATTTCAGCTGCCTGTCCAGCATCTGAACGCATTTGTGTTAGTTTCCCTGGGTCATCTTAACACAGTACCACAAACTGGATGGCTTAACAGAAACTTACTGTCTCACTGTTTTGGAGGCCAGAAGTCCAAGATCAAGGTGTTGGCAGGGTCAGTTCCTTCTGAGGGCTGTGAGAGAGAATCTGCCCCATGCCTGTCTTCTGGCTTCTGGTGGTTTGCTGGCCAACTTGGGTGTTCCTTGGCTCGTCCGTGCATCAACCGATCTCTGCCTTCATCTTCACGTGGCCTTCTCCCTGTGGAAGATTTGGCTGAGATTTGTTCTTTTAGGGTCTGAATTATCTTCTGTGGGCATGTTCTTTTTCAAATGCAAATTACTCTGGGAGGGAAGACCAATAAGTTATCCGAGAAGTCCAGAGAGCCTAGGCCAGGTGCCATCAAAGGCTCTTCGGTCCTAGAACTGAGCCCCCACGTCCAGAGGCAAAGGGTCTCTTCCTGGGGGCTTTCCCCTCGGGGCCTCAGGTTCTGGCCAGAGGATGAGCCAGAGCCCTGGAGCTCTCTGGATCAAACCAGCTTCTCACTCCCTGGGGGCTGCCGGAGGAGGGGAGTCCAGTTGCATAAAAATCCCAGAACTTGAGAGGACATCAAGAGGCACGAAGTTTGGGGCGAGCGATCACCACCCCGAGCCAGCCTGGTCGCCGGGTCCTCTACCCCGAGCTCCACAGCGGCCGGAGTCTATTAGGACTCTAGTGTGAATTCATGTATCACATGTTTCACTAAAAAATATAACAATACAGTATCAGCTGCCTTGAAAGAGGGAAATAGTGCGTGCTCATGTGGGTGTCAGAGGGGGTGTCTACAAGTTGGACCCACCCACCTCCCAGTGTCGAGAGGGTGTGATCTGTTGGGAGGAGTTGTTTATGTCTGTGCTGGCTTCCCAGGTTCCCTGTCCAGGCTTGCGCACTGCCCTGGCTCCTCGACTTTCAGATCTTACCTCACACCTTGGTTTATGGCATCTCTGGCTTCCTGAGCAGAAGGATTTTTCCCCAGTCCTTGGAAGAACAAAGCTGAGTTTTATGTTGGTGTATTAGGTTCCTATTGCTGCACAAATTTATTATCTTACAGTTCTGGAGGTCAGAAGTTTAAAATGAGTCAGCAGGCTGTCTTCCCTTGCCTGTTCTGGCTCCTAGAGGCCACCTGCATTCCTTGGCTCTGGACCCCTTCCTTCACTTCCAAAGCTGGCAATATAGCATCTTCAAATCTCTATCTGACTTGCTTCTGTTGTCACATCTTCTCTGACTCTGACCTTCTTACCTCCCTCTTATAGAGACCTTGTGATTACATTGGGCCCACCTGGATAACCCAGGATAATCTCCCCATCTCAAGAGCCTTAATAGCATCTGCAAAATCGCTTTTGCCATATAAGGTGACATATTCACAGGTTCCAGGGATTATGATGTGGACATCTTTGGGGGACTGTTATTCTGCCAGCCACAGATAGGGAAATAATCTGGGAACTGTGTCCTTACTTGGCTACAGAACCTTCTTTCTAACATTTCCCACCTCCCCAGCACCACCAAGTGCACACAAACCAGGAACTTGCCTTCCCCTAAATAAGTATCTGTCATGTGGGACTGAAGACACACTTGCTCAGATCGACATGTGTTTCTATAGACTTCGTGATCTTTGGCTCATCGGGTAGAGACTCCTACAAAGAAAATTGGTTTCCATTTTTAAAAATTATCCAAGAGGGAGAAATTGGCATCTTTGCTAAACATAGTAATTATAGGATTGCAAAACCCCAACTTTTCACCTGAGGAAAGGGTGGGAAGCAGACCAGCCCATCCATTTTCTGCCTGGCAGAATTCTCCACTCGGCTTTGCAAGAAGGGCTTGGCACAGGGCACAGGCCCCCTGGGTACCAAAGGGAAGTGTGTGGCCCTCTCAGCTCCTGTCATGTGACCTGACAGTCCAGTTGCTTCTACTCCTCTGTGGTAAGGCTGGACCAGGCCAGCCACATGGAGAGCCGGGGCTAGGAACATTCCAGGCTCCTGCTGACATCAGCTCTGGTTTGGGCCAAAAGCAGGCTCTGGCCCAGTCTGCAATGCCCAACCCCCCATCCTGAATACATGTGAGGGGAGAGAAGGTTCCCCTCTGAGGCTGCAGCCAGCCCCCTACCCCACCCAACTACGCTCACGTGCTCACTTATACTGGTTTGGAGACCTCGGGCAACTGGGACAAGCGCTCATCCAGGGGAAGAGAAGCTGACAGCTATATGTCAAAATGCCTTGGGAAACTTCTGGGAATCAGGAAGAGGGACCTGGGACCTCTGGAGCAGGAAAGCAGAGCTGTTTTCATCTTGTAGCAGCCCAGCATCCAGGCCAAGGGGATGGGTGTGTACACAGTTTTCCGGGGGCTTTTTGTTGTGCAATGTTTTCCACTTTCACATCTCTCAAAAGCCGATGTGTCCTTGGATTGTTCCCAAACCAAACAGACAGTGGGCTGGACACAGCCGCAAGCTGAGCAGCGCATTTGTGCTGATGGTCTGGAGCTGTTTCCTCCCACCTGAGGGTGGACCCCCATCTGCCCTGAGGGAAGGTGACATCCTTTCTCACCCTGTCTAGGGAAGCACACGCTGCCTCTGGAATGCCGTTCGAGGCGCCCTGCTGGCCCCTGGTGGCCACCTGGGGGATATGTCTCGTCTTTTATCTAAACTGCGCTATGCAGCGGATCAGGCTTCCTCCAATTGGGGGGAGGGGGCGAGGGGGGTGGGAGCAGGCAATAGAGGGGCATGGGTGCCCTACTTCACCAAGCTGCAGAAAGACATGGAGCCTGGAGCGGGGCTTGCCCACCCCTGACGCTCATTATCCACATTCCAAAAATAGAAATTCCTCTTCCCTGGCGGCTCACTTCCTGAAGGTCAAACCCTTCGATTCTTTCCAAACACAACCCTGGTAATTTAAGTAATGATTATACAGGATGGGCTGGACAGCTGGGGCCGGGGAGGAGGGCTGGGGGCAAAGGATACCATAACCTAATTCCACACACATGCCCCTAAGCCTTTGTGGAGCGAAAGGAGTGATGCTCTGTTGATCCGAGAGGAGAGCTATTTCCAAAAGCAGAGTTCCCTGTTCTCTGCTCATTGCCCTAAAGTCCTGACCACAGCAAAGTGGCTAGCATCTTCAGAATGAGTTAAGATGGCATTTTTCCTTCAAGGCACCGTCAGATAATCCTAGCAGCTTTCTCTGATACTCACTGTTTCAAAACGGAATGAGGAACCAAGTGATTCAGTGTCAAAGCTTACAGACTAATTAGTAAAATTATTTTTTAAAATAATTAATAATTAGGGGCCGGCCCTGTGGCATAGCAGTTAAGTGCGCGCGTTCCGCAGCTGGCGGCCCGGTTTTAGATCCCAGGCGCCACCGAGGCACTGCTTGTCAAGCCGTGCTGTGGCGGTGTCCCATATAAAGTGGAGGAAGATGGGCACGGATGTTTGCCCTGGGCCAGTCTTCCTCAGCAAAAAGAGGAGGATTGGCACGGATGTTAGCTCAGGGCTGATCTTCCTCACAAAAAAAATTTTTTTTAAGTTAATAATTAATAAAAGGATGGGAAAAACAAAAAATGGAATGGGCCCGGAGAGTGTTCCTAAGCAGTGAGGAGCCTATAGGAGGTGGCTGGAGAACATTTCTTTTCTTTTCATTTCCTTCCTGGAACCGCAGTCAGTGTGGTTCTGCACACAGAAGTCCTCAAGAAATGCTTGTGGGCTGACCTCTCCCAACCGCATCCTTCTGGCAGAGGCAACAGAGCACCCAGGGGAGGGAGCTGAATCTGGGAGCCAGGTGGCTGGTGGGGCGATGCACAAAGCCCAGGAAGGGCACGGTCCAACACCCCACCTCCTCCTGGCTCACAAAGCAGGCTGATGGGTCCCAGGAGGGAGGGACAGACGGCTCCCAGGCAGAGTTAAAATGACAGCATCAGTCTTCCTGACTCAGCATGGCCTAGAAAAATCCATAGCATCAGAACTTGGCATTTGCAAACAAGCACAAAGATCCTACCATTTTAGGCAGAGTTCTGGTTGCCATGTGACAAGTATCTGCGAATACTTGATTCTCAAATTGAGAACTTGGAGCACTTAAAGAGGGAAGACAGCTCAATAATTGCAAAATGTGATTAGCATTGGGATCCGATCTGCAGTCTTCAGCTCTTGGCAGTGTGTTATTCCTAAGGGCAGAGGCATGTTGAGTTCTCATTGGTGGATCTGTTACCCCATTTGCAGCCTTTAGCAGCAGGGTAGCGGGGTAGGGAGGGGGGAGCCACACTGGCTGGGGAAAGGCTGAGTGGCAGAGTCTTTGAGATCTCAGGCATTTCTGAAATGCAGAGGACCCTGACAGTAGGAGCCTAATTCTAATTCTAAACTAAGACCTGCATGTTGTGAATACTCAACAAAGTCTAGCAGGTCAACCATGAAAACACGGTCCTAATAGATGGGAAAAACAAAGCTGGGATTACCCAACAGCCCTTGAGAAAAGTATCTTTTAAAAATGAGAGACTCAAGCTTCCTCAAAAAGAGCAATTCCCACACTCCTAGGTACATACCCAAGAGAACTGAAAACATGTCTACACAAAAACTTGTACACAAATGTTCATAGCAGCTCTATTTACCATAACCAAAAGGTGGAAACAACTCAAGTGTCCATCAACAGAGGAATGGATAAATACATCATAGAATAATATTTGGGGGGGCTGGCCCCCTGGCTTAGCTTAGGTTAAGTGCGCATACTCCGCTACCAGCAGCCCTGCGCACCGATGCATCGCTTCTCCCGCCATGCTGAGGCCGCGTGTCCCACATACAGCAACTAGAAGGATGTGCAACTATGACATACAACTATCTACTGGGGCTTTGGGGGAAAAAAAGAAAAAAAAGGAGGAGGATTGGCAATGGATGTTAGCTCAGGGCTGATCTTCCTCACAAAAAAAAAAAAAAGAAGAAGAATGTTTGGCCATGAAAAGGAATGAAGTGCTGCTATACACTACCATGTGGATGAACCTCAAGAATATTATGTGAAAGAAGTGAAAGAAGCCAGATGCAAAAGGCAACATATTGTATGATTCCATTTATATGAAATGTCCAGAATAGGTAAATCTGTAGAGACAGAAAGCAGATTGGTGGTTGCCAGGGGCTGGGGGAGGGGGAAATGGGGAGTGATGCTTAAAGAATATGAGTTTTATTTTGGGGTGATGAAAATATTTTGGAACTAGATACAGGTGGTAGTTGCACAACATTATGAATGTACTAAATGCCACTGAATTGTTCACTTTATGTTATGTGCATTTCACCTCAGTTTTTTTAAAAAATGAGGGACTTGAAGGAACCAGCAATGTCCCTTTCAAGATCATTCTTTTGTGATGCAAAAGGATGCATTTCTAAGGCTGCAGTTGAAATTCTGATTTGGGTGGTATTAAAGAAAAAAATTACTCAAGACACTTATTAAGGAAAGATAGGGCAGAATTTACTCAGGACCACTGCAATGGGGTCTTGCAGTGGGGAGTACACATTGGGCTCAACTTCAAATACAATAAGGAAAAGTGGGAATTTATAGTCAAGGGGCAGGGTGGGAGTCAGGGGATGGAAAATTACTAAGAAGA